TTCGATCTTGATATCGAACAAAGTATAACTCAGTCAGGACCAGATTTCACGGCGTTTTGCACTGTCCCTCCCTTTTGCTTCTAGTTGCCTACAAGAGCCATTTAAGCAGATCACGGCTCTATGTTATTTGGGCATCTCAGTGTCAGAAGAATCTTCTGTCGTGGTCCGTCTAGGCAACTAAGAAAAAGGGGGCGGAGCAATAAGCCGTGAAATCTGGTCTTGGATGAGTTATGTGTGCATCATCTGGCATAATCCGGTTTGCGTATACGCTTGGATATTTGTGCCGATTTCTCGTGGTGAGAGGCGATAGCAATTAAATGTTTGAATCGATTGATACAAGATATAGCTTCGCCTCTTTCAGCCTCAAGAATAATCTGATTTTGCATATGAAACATCTTCAAGTAGACGGAGCCTTGTAACCTGTTGTGGTTCAAGTGATGGTTACATTCAATCCCCTGCAGTTTCAACTGATTGCATGGGAAAGGTATAGAACACTGGTTGCTTAAAAACTTGGATTTTGATTTAATTTAAGATACTGATAATGTTAGCTTATGAAGAAATTACTTATTTGCATGACAGATGAATACAGAATGGTTTGAATAGTCATTGTAAATTGTACAGCTTGAGAAATTACTTCGCAATGCTTCATGCAGTAGTAAAGAATGAAAACGAATAAAGTTGAAGGTGAGCACGGAACACTCTATTTCATTGAATCGATGTTTCTATTAATGGAACTTCGCTGTTTCAAGTATTGTCATAGTGAAACATTACATTAAACATGCCGTTCCTTGTTTAACCTATGCGTATGTGCTTCAAACCATCTATCGAGACGAAATACCTATTTAATTTAACTTTGTTTCCTGTCTTTACCCAGCAACTTGACGAGGTTAGCTATAAATTGGTTAATAAACATTGGAACCGTTAAAGAGCATGCTTCGGCAATACATGACTGAAATTCATTAAGCTGTTTGGCATGACAGTGTTAGGACATCACGCCGTATCAGTTTCTGATAGCTTCTTTAATCAAAGCCGGCCTCTGGCTTGGTTTCGTGAGTCACATGACCGACATAGCAATAGTATATTAATTCGTTTGTAGTAAGGATTATTTGAACATTGATAATTTAACAGTTTTTCTACTCCGGTTTCTGTGCTTCTCCGTACCGTGCTCATAAACATAGTAGAAGGAGGCTATCTCATTGTAATTTCTCGTCTTTTCCTCGTACCTCCCATTGCCTGTTTCCCAAATTTTGTTTTCTTCTTACCAGTGAGCAGTCATTGTTTGTTCAGACAGTCGGCAGTATGACGAAAAGTTCTGGTCATGCTTTCTTCGGGGATTAAGAACGACAAGGGCGTTTCAATTATTTCTGCTGAGAAACGGATCAGGGTGAGATAAATTCCTTGCCCAAGGGCGTTAGCCCTTAATTAGAGAAATCTGAGTCGGGTTTAGGTTCGAAGTGTTACTCCCAGTGAGGTGCGAGAATAATTACATTACATGACTACCTCACTTGTACAGCTGCCAGGTAAAAAATTGACTCATACTATGGGGAAAGCTCTGTGTCAGATCAAATAATTGCCAAGAGGACGATTTCGAAGTTATATATTCAAGGAACTGAACCGGTGTTTGTTTTTATAGCAACCAGTTGTCGAAACTGAAGGGTTTTTAGTTCATGTGTTAATGATAATCAAATCCCAGCTGTCCTTGAAGAAGAACATGAAAATTTTTGACAGTGCTAAAAATACACTTAAATAGAGATTTTTTATGCAACCGAGTGCAGGTGGGGCCACTGATCGGTGTTGAGAAATAAAGTTCTGAAAATTAGACGGTTATGATTCTATAATGGGCGATCATGTGCCCT